GCCATTAGTATTTAGACAGATGCCTATATATGTACATACAGGGCCCCCCTACACCCTGCTGTGCCGGCTCCATCACACTGGGAGATCCATACATATTTGTGGAATGAATAAAGGATTGAACCAACAAGTGAAAATGTGAGCAACACCCACGCCGCTTGGATACTAGGTAACATCGGTTGGGGCAGCGCGGCAGGGCGAGTCCGGAGTCTGTGTCTGTAGGGAGTTGTCTGCTCCCAATATAGCCTCCGTGGGCGGGCAGGGAGCTGGGGCTGCCTCCCAGGCCTGACTTCCCTGGGCTGGAGGCCCAGCCTCTGGGGAGGTGGAGAAAATTAACAGAGAAGAGGCCCCGGCGTTCCGCAGCCAGGGCTGGGATGGGAGACGAGCTGGTGGGCGCCTGTGTACTCTGGAAACGTCGTTAGCTCAGGGGCTTGAGCTGAGGGCAGAGGACTCTGCAGATGGGTCCAGAAAGAACTGGCTGTGGGTTGGGCCTCCTGGGAGCTCCTGGGAATTCCTCGTCCTGGGCGGCGTGGGCTGAAGGTATGGGGGGGAGCAGCCCCGTGGAGAGTGGGGCAAGCACGGTGCCTGGGCCCACCCGTGCTCCTAGAAGCGTCCTTCCTCTAGCTGCCATGCCTCTGCCCTCACTCACCACCTGGAATATTGCACTGTTGGCCCAACCGGTCTTCTTGCCCTTAGACGCCCCCCCCCCACCCCCACCCAATCCGTCTTGTTCATAGCTGCTGTTACTTTTCAAAAAACACGGATAGGATTGTGCAACGTGTCCGCTCCAAATCCTTCCACAGCTCCCAGGGTGGAGTAATAATGTTGGAGTCTTAGCCTGGCGCTCAAGGCCCTTCTTCATCGGGCCGCCCTCCACCATCGGGCCTGTGTTCGAAAGGCTGCTGTGGGAGGGAGGGTTGTTTGGTTATGTGCTGGGGGGTAGATGGACGGACGCTGGGCTGAGGGATGCTCATGAGGATGGAGAGTTGGATTTGTAGGCAGATGATTAGATGTCGAGGTGACTGGGAGGCTGGGGGGAAGATGGTGACGTGAATGGGTGGGTGGTTGCAAGTCAAGACTATTTTGGTGGCAAGGAACATAAACCTGACTGTCACCAGGGAAGAGGTGGGAATTCCCAGTTGTGAGGCTACGACGTACAACCTCGCAGACCTTGCAGACACTCAGGCCTCATGGAGATCGGTTCTGGCACGGCAGAGATGGCGGCTCTCCTCCCATCTCTGGAGGAGCTCGGTCTGCGTCCCCCCATTCCCCGGCCGCTCCCCGCGTGCTCTTCCTCTCAGCTGGCCTAGCTTTCCTCCTCACGGCCCAGCAGCCGTCCTCACAGTCACCTTGGCCCCTTTCATCCATGCATTTTTATCAGGGACGGATTTATGAACTCTTTGCACCTGGACAATGGAAAACAGCCTGGGGAACAAAGGAAAGTTACTACCTCCACAAAGCACACTGCCCAGTGGGGAGAGACAGTGTTATCCGCGTGTGTATATGTCACATGGAAGCAGTTGCATGTGAGGTGGTGACACAGGCTACGGAGACGACGGAGCAGGGCCTGGAGCATGGGAGGGGCATGGAGCGGGCGGTGCTGTTACCTGCAGGGGAGACATCTCTGGTCAGGTAACATTGGAGTGGAGATCTGAAGAGAGTGAGGGTGAGCCTGAACATCCCCGGGAGAGTGTTCTGGAAGTGCGGTGGTGTGTGGCGTGGCTGATTCAGGGTGAGCAAGGGCGGCGGCAGGAGCTGAGGTCATTGCACGGCCCTGACTCCTACTCCCAGAGGGACAGGAAGGCACCAGAGGATGCCCACAGGGAAGTGCCACCCCCTCACACTTTGTTGTTGTTGTTAATCCTCACCCGAGGATATTTTCCCATTGGTTCCTAGAGAGAGTGGAGGCAGGGAGGGAGGGAGAAGCATCCATGCCTCACATGGATTGGTTGCCTCCTGCACGTGCCCCGGCCAGGCCCGGAGATGAAACTTGCAACCGAGGTATGTGCCCTTGACCAGGAATCGAACCCGAGACCCTTCGTTCCCCGGGCTGACACTCTAACCCAGCCGTGGGCAAACTACGGCCCATGGGCCGGATCCGGCCCGTTTGAAATGAATAAAACTAGAAGAAAAAAAAGACCGTACCCTTTTATGTAATGATGTTTACTTTGCATTTATATTAGTTCACACAAACACTCCATCCATGCTTTTGTTCCGGCCCTCCGGTCCAGTTTAAGAACCCATTGTGGCCCTCGAGTCAAGAAGTTTGCCCACCTCTGCCCTAACCACTGAGCAACTGGCCAGGGCTCACCCTCTCACATTTTATAAAGGCCTTTCTGGCCACTGTGCTGAGAACAGACAAAAGGGGCCAGAGTGGAGATCAGTTAGGAAGTTCCTGCAGGAATCCGGTAGGACATGGGCCCTGAGGGTTTGGACCAGGGTGGCAGTGGCGAGGGGGTGACAAGCCCTCCAGTTAGGGTGTACGTTGAAGGTGGAGTTATCAGATTTGCTGATGGATGATGGGCTGTGGGTGAGAGAGAAGGAACACTCTGTCAAGGGCGACGCTAAGACTTTGAGGGCCACTGAGACCATGGAGTTGCTGAAGAACAGAGGCCATTTTCTATTTTGGGGGACGGAGTGCAGGGAGAGGAATTTCACTTTAGTCCTCTTCCCACTGTGATGCCGCCGCCGATACTCAGTGGGGCCCTTGGGGCAGCTGGAGATGGGGAAAGAGGTGTAAGCTGGAGTCCAGGCGGGACTTTCCCCAGCTGATGGCATTTAAAGCCACGGGACCATTGAGATGCTCGAAGGCAGTGGTTCTCAACCTTGGCCGCACATTAGAATCACCTGGGAATCTTTTTAAAATCCTGATTCCTGGGCCTCATCCTCCAGAAATTCTGTTTCTTTGTTATGGGGTGGGGCCACAACATTAGTAACAAAGAAACAGAATTTCCGGAGGATGAGGCCCAGAGATGAGGATTTTAAAAAGACTCCCAGGTGATTCTAATGTGCAGCCATGGTTGAGAACCGCTGCTCTAAGGAGAGTGAAAACCGAGAATGGGTCCAACGAGTGACACCTGGCCCCAGCCGTTGTGAGGGGTTTGGGAGAGTCACCGCACACGAGAGCTGGCCCGCGAGGCCGGAGGAGAACCAGGGGAGGGGGGCGTGAAGAAGGGCTTTGGAGCGGAGAGAACGAAAGCTGCCAAAGATGCCGATGGCTCCAGCGAGATGAGGCCGGAGTGACTGGAAGACAGGATTCTTCGTCCTCACTCGCAACCAGCGTCTGTACGGCTCCCTTCAGGCGCACGGCCCGCTCAGGCCGCACCAGAGGACGCGTGGGCAGCGTGGGCAGCGTGGCCACCAGCCCTGCCCTCCCGCAGGCGGCCCTGCACGCGCCCTGGATGGTGAGGGCTCAGTGCCGGGGGCCCGGCTGTGCCCACGGGCCTGAGCCGCACAGTCGCTCTGGACCCCAGCTAGTTCACGGCAGGGCGAACAGGGGGCTTCGTGGGAAGCTCAGTGGAGCAATCGCTTACCACCCCCTGAGATGGAACCTGCAGCTGCAAGGGACCCGACTTCTCAAGAAAACCCAACATCCGCCCTCGGGGGGTGCGCCCTGGTCCTCAGAGGGAGAGAATGTGTGTGACGGGCTAAGTCTGTCACCTCCAATACAGACAACCTCTTTTGGGCAGAGTCGGATGCTACTCAAGGGGCGAGGTTCACACGTGTGTGGGTTTATATGCACGCGTCTGCCTCACACACTCGCTTGTGTGTGTTTATGACAGTGCGTCTCAGAATCAGCTCAAAGGTTCGGTAAGCGCGGTTGGACCCGCCCCGGAGTTTCTGATGCAGCAGGTGTGTGGGCCTGAGGATTGGCATTTCTGACCAGTTTCCAGGTGAGGGTCTTGGCCCAGGGGCTGCCCTCAGAGGACCGCTGCCCATGGCATGCCCAGACTGCCCTGCCCGGCAGAGCAGGTGGAGGGGTCAGGAATGCTGTCCAGCAGGTCTCAGGCGTCCTGTCACTGGCAGCGGGCCTCGCGCCCATGACAGGCCACTTGTCACGGCCGCCACTGTCTGTCCAGCTGTGCCCAATCCCTGCTCTCCATCAGGGCTAAGGGGGACCCCTAGGTGCATGCACGTGGCCATGGAAGGTGCTGGACTTCGGCTGTGGGGCACATAGAACCATCATCGGCTTGCAGGGCCCCCGCCAGCTGAGTGCACGGGTCAGAGAGGTTCCCTCAGAGCCCCCAGTGCCCCTGCCCCTCAGAAACTGCCGTTGGGCCTGCTGGAAGCGGCTCCCACCTTCCCTAACCTCAGCGTCCATCAGCTTCCCTCTCAGGACAGAGAGGACAGCTGACCCCCGAGGAGCAGGGCGGCAGTGTGGGCAGCAAGGCACCACCGGCCAGGAGACTGGGCTGCCGCTGCCTCTCGCTCAGCCCTGCCCTGGGGAGTGGCCCCGGCCAGCCCCCTGCTGGCCCCAAACCATCTTCCTGCCCCGCATCCCATTTCTCAGGTGTTGTCAACAGGATCCCCCTCAGCAGCGGATGCACACGCTCAGGCCTCACTTGCCTTAAAAAACAAAACCCTGTCTTTGACTCCACACGCCCTCCGGCTGCTGCCCCAGCTCCTGCCCATTCCTGAGCGCGGCTTACACACATCGTGTCTCCTCACCTCTCAGCGCCTCCCGGCCTCTGCAGCCTGGTTTCCATGCCCCTCACTCCGCTGAACGTGCCCCCTACATCCCCAGTGACCTGCAGACACTAAACCCTAAGTCACCCCCCTCCCCCGTTTTGGAGTTTTCTGGGAGATTCCCGCGCCCCTGATGGCGCCTGGCTCCGTGAGACGCTCTCTGCACGTCTCACATGGCACAGCTTTCTGGTTCCTTCTACAGCTGTGGCTGCTCCCGATCTCTCCGCCAGGCCCCCTCCCCCTGTCCGCAGGAGTGTCCTGCAGGTGTGGCTCCTCTCCTCTTCCCCCCATCTCGGCTTGTGTGGCGACTCTACTTTTCTGCTCCCAAACGTGCATCTCTCTATTTTTTTTATTGATTTTTCACAGAGAGGAAGGGAGAGGGATAGAGAGTTAGAAACATCAATGAGAGAGAAACATCGATCAGCTGCCTCCTGCACACCCCCTACTAGGGATGTGCCCACAGCCAAGGTACATGCCCTTGACTGGAATCGAACCTGGGACCCTTGAGTCCGCAGGCCGACGCTCTATCCTCTGAGCCAAACCGGTTGGGCCAAACGTGCATCTCTAGCTCACTCTCCCTGGGCACCCAGTTGTTCACCGGGACTTCTGAGAGGCTCAGAGATGAGAGGCAATCGCAAAGGCCGTTGCCGAGGCCGAACTTACGATCCTCCCCTCCCGCGGCAGCCCTGCTGGGCCCTCGGTGTCCAGGGCCCCGGGAGACCCGCTGCCTGCCCTCCGCTGTGCAGCTCAGCCCAGGGGCCCTCGACGCCGCTGCCCCTCAGCCCCCACGGCCAGGCCACCGCCAGTTGCTCCCCATCTCATTTCCTTAGAAGCTTTGGACTCTACAGTTTTTAAAAAATGTATTTTTAAAATTGATTTCAGAGAGGAAGGGAGAGGGAGAGAGAATCATTGATCGGCTGCCTCCTGCATGCCACCTACTGGGGATCGAGCCCACAACCGGGCATGTGCCCTTGACTGGAATCCAACCCGGGACCCTTCTGTCCTCAGGCCGATGCTCCAGCCACTGAGCAAACTGGCCAGGGCTCACGACAGATTTTCCCATCTTCACTGTCACATCCTGATCCAAACCACAGCCAATCCTCCCAGGACCACAATCGCCTCTCAACTGGTTTCCCCATGCCCCCTCCGGCGTGCCTCCAGCCCGAGGTCCCTGTCACAGTCGCTGTGCCCCTGGGTGCTGCCCCCTCCGGCCTGAGGTCCCTGTCACTGCCACTGTGCCCCTGGGTGCTGCCCCCTCCGACCCGAGGTCCCTGTCACTGCCACTGTGCCCCCGGTGCTGCCCCCTCCGGCCCGAGGTCCCTGTCACAGCCACTGTGCCCCTGGGTGCTGCCCCCTCTGGCGTGCCTCCGGCCCGAGGTCCCTGTCACGACCACTGTGCCCCCGGTGCTGCCCCCTCCGGCCCGAGGTCCCTGTCACAGCCACTGTGCCCCTGGTGCTGCCTCTCGCTCAGAGATGGGGGTGGCCTGATGCGGGTCACAGTGGGGCTGCAGCCCGGCGCCCGTTTCCAGGGCAGGAAGGCGGAGCCGTGTGAGGCTGGAGGCCCCACAGACACAGCCCAGCCAGGCCTCCTCCCGGATGGAGAAGAGGCTCTGCAATCGGCAGTATCAGGTTTCGGAAAACACAGGGTCAGGGTCAGCAGAGCAGCTTGTCGTGGGGAAGGCCAGGCCCAGCTAATTTCCTGTCAGAGCGGCCGAGGCCCCAGCCCGCTCCCCCCAGTCCGCTCCGGGCTGGCCACAGGGGAGGAGATGCCGGGAATGGCTCGCATTCCTCTGGCTGGGGCTCCATGGACCTTGGATGGACCTCGGGGACCGCGGGGAGTGAGGAGGTGGAGCTGCTGGGGCCAGAGGGGGGCTCTCTGCGGGGACCAGGCATCTGTTGTGGGTCCTTAGGCTGGAGTGGGGCAGGGGCTGCGGAGCAGATGCAAGGCCATTGCTGAAGCTTTAGGACAGGGGTTCTCAACCTGTGGGTCGCAACCCTTTTGGGGGCCGAACGACCCTTTCAGCGGGGTCGCCTAAGACCATCAGAAAACACATCTATAATTACATATTGTTTCTGTGATTAATCACTATGCTTTAATTATGTTCAATTGGGGGTCACTACAACATGAGGAACTGTATCAAAGGGTCGCGGCATTAGGAAGGTTGAGAACCACTGCCTTAGGATAACCGAGCCCAAATCATGTGTCAGATGAGGAGGCAGAGGCTCGGTCAGGACCAGATCTCACCAGGGTCAGGCGAGCGTCAGGTTCTAAGTCCCGACAGCCCCCTGGCTGGGCCTACATTGCCGAGAGGCCAGCCTTGCTGAGCTGTGGACAGTGGGGGACACAGGCTACGCTTGCGCTCTTCCTGGAAGGGAGGTGGGAATTCTCACTTCCAGCCGGGGACACGTGCTTCCCTGGTGGTCAGTGGAGGGGTGGCGGCGTGTGGAGAGGGCGTGAGAGTCCTGGCTCCACTGTGGGCTCCAGCCCATCCCGGGCCAGGCAGTTAGACGGACGTGAGCAGAGCAAGGACGAGGGGCCAGGACAGAAGGTCACGGGGGGAAGCCCTGATGCCGAGCATAGGACCACTGTAGGGCAGGACCTCGCCCCAGGACCTTCCTCCCCTAGAGATACCTCTAGGCCGGCGGTCGCCAACCGTGGTCTATGGGCCCCTGGTGGTCCGTGAGGTCCGAAAGGTTGGCGGCCGCTGCTCCAGGCCTCAGTTGTATTTCAGCTCCAGACCCAGAAAAGCAGCAAAACCAGACCAGTGGCCCAAGGCCGACCTCAGGACCAGCTGTATTGGATAATGACCGCCCGCCCTGGTGCTGACCAGTCAGTGGAGACCGAAACCCTGAAAGGACCCACCTGGAAAACTGCTGAGTGTTCTCCTGAGATCTCCCCTGGGACCTCCCCTAAAATCTCCACCCCTAAACCCTGAGGACGAGGACCCCTCGCCCTCCCTCCCGGGAGCACGTCCGCACCTCCTTCTCCCTCTCCCCGCCCCTCAGAGGCGCTACCATTACCTTCCTCACTGCCAAGCCCCAAGGGCCCCTCCTTTGCCTCTATAACTTGTTTCCTAAGCCCATTTCTTCCAGGAATTACTTTTCCTACCTCTGTGATTTACCAAATAAATGTTCTCTTACAGTCGGGGTCTCGGCTCCGAATTCTTTCCTAGCCAGAACCCAAGTACTGAGGTTGCTGAACCCAGGCCCAGTCTGAGCCCATGAGCCTAACGCCCGGTGCCGTTCCTGCACCACCTACACCAATTCCACCCCCAGAGAGAACTGTATACCCTGGTCCAGTCCCAGGAGGGTGAGGCCGTGGACGTGGGTTCCTGGCCTTGCACGGCCCCCTCAGGGACCTGGCCAGGAGGGGGGACACAGTCATGGCCCCTGTGCTCTCCACTCTCCGGCACCAAGACCGGCCGGCTGGGCTGAAGTGTGATGCTGGGGAGGGGGAGCCCAGGAAGCAGGCGCACAAGCCTGGATTCACACTGGCTCCATCAGACATTAGGTGGCCCGGCTGGGCCCCTCGCCTCTCCACACCAGCTGCAGGGAGGGGAGGGGAGGGGAGGGGTTACTCAACCTCTCCCTCTCCAGCAAGTTGTAAAGTGGGTCTGTGACTTGGGCAGGGCTCTCCTGCCTGACTCTGTGGGACACAGCCCCGCCCAGAGCCACACCCTCTCTCCACCAGTGCCCCCCGGGGAAGCAGGCGCCTGCTTGTGGAGTCAGGGGCAGGCCTCCACTCTCTCCCCCACTCCAGGCACTTGACTCTGAGGATGGGCCTATTTTCAGGGGCCCCAGGCATTAACCTGACTGCCCTTGCCCCTTCCCCACCTCTGCCCCCTCCAGTTAGGTCCCAGCCCTACAGGCGTGTCTCTGAAGCTTCCACCATATCCTGCCCACAGCCTTCTCTAGTCCCAACAACCACTTCTTCCCAGGCAGCTGTGCAGGGAGAGCTCTCGAAACACATATCACAACCTGGACTAACTTCCTTCCTTTTTTAAAATATGTTTTTATTGAATATTTAGAGAGAGGAAGGGAGAGGGATAGAGAAATAGAAACATCAATGATAAGAGAGAATCATTGATTGGCTGCCTCCTGCACTGGGAATCAAGCCCACAACCCGGGCATGTGCCCTGACTGGGAATCGAACTAGGGACCTCTTGGTTCATGGGTTGATGCTCAACCACTGAGCCACACCGGCCGAACTTTCCTGACTTCTTTAAAAATTAAATTTATTGGGGGTGACATTGGTTAATAAAATTATAGTTAACTTCCTTTCTTGCCCTCCTCCAGTTCACCTTCACCCAGCCAGATCCTTCTTGTCATAGACTCAGCAAAGATGTCATTTACTCAGGGAAGTCTTCTCTCATCCCCAGGGCTAGACTGGGACACCCCCCCTCACCCCTCCACCCCCGCCCTCCCGCCTTGCTACAGGCCCCTACCTGTCCCCGCCCTGTCACAGCTCGGGTTACACTAGATTTCATAACTTGCAGGTATGGATAATCGCTTGTTTGCCTGGGGATCAAAGTAGCCAGAACAGGCATTAGCACGCAGTGAGCATCAATAAACACACAATGAACGAGTGAATGACGACAGAAATGAATAGACAAATGTGTGGAAAGGTTCCTTCCTACAGTTGGGGTGTGTGGGGAGCATGTGCACCGTCGGGGCTTCCCCGGTACCTCGCATATGGAGGCTCTGGGCAGAGCCGTGCCTTCCAGCTGCTTCCTACTGCTGAGGTGCCAGGGACGGAGCGGGGCAGCCAGCCCCACCTGCTAAACTCAGCTGCCCCAGGAAATGTAGGTGTTGAGACAGGTCTCCGAAGCCAGGTGGAACCCAGACAATGGCGGGCTGTGTCCCATAGGGTCTGCGTGTCTAAGTGCCTGTGTCACTCAGGTGTGGACAGTGTTTGCCTGTGGGTGAGTGAGTGCGCTTCCCCCATCCCCCAGCAGCTCCTGGCCCAGCTCGCCCTGAGCCCACGCCTTCGAAGGCACCTCTGCTCTCGGCCTCCCTCCCGCCTCTCCTGGGGCCATTCCCCACCTGGTGTCCGTCCTGGGCGCCTGTGCCCTGGGCACACCCATCATTGCACATGTCACTGCAGTTCGTCTGTATGACGTTGCACCAGTGTCTCG